CTTTACTATAAAATTTAGCATCTAGTTACACTTTACAAAATTAAATACATATAAACTCATCAAGAAATGAGTTGTTTATGCGCTCTAAAAAACTTAAATGTTGAACTTACTCAACCAAGTCACGTCAGCTGGTTTCACTAAACTTGTAGAGTAAATATGAGGTAAGAATATTTTCTCCACTTGGTTTAGTGGAACCAGTTTGGTTAACCCCTTAACAGACGCCCCTGAAATTCCTTAAAAGCCTTTTGACATTTTTAAGGGTGCCAAACTAAAGGTAAGAACTAGAGGAAGTTGTCTGACACCCTAGTTTTCAAAATAAAAGCCCCTGGTAGTGTCTGGAAACATTTAAAGGTAGAAGCCGCACCTTTTTGTCCACCTGTGGAACAAAGACTGTTAAGGGGTTCAGGAAATTCTACAGTTTATTTCTTAGAGAGTGTATAAAAGTACTTTTACTTTCCCAATTTTTACGTACCGTTTTCTGACTTTTACTTAAGTACTTTTGTCRTCAGTGAAATTTCTTTTTACCAAAGTCGTTTTCTGTTAAGGTATTTTTACATATGCAAAGTTATTTTTTTCAAGTACTTTATAGATCTCTAGTTTTTGATAAGGGAATGATATTAGAACATGATGTCTGATTTTGCATTATGMCCCCTTTTAGAGACACTACAAAACTAAAGCTAAAGTTGTGTTTTTACCTTTACAGAAACTGATGGAAGTTCCTCTGGGAGAAAAAGTTCCAAGAAACAAATAAAGATTCATAAGAAAATCATCTGAAAGCAGGTCGATCATAAAGTAAAATTAACAGGGTTTTTTTCTTGTGTTTTTCCACCAGTTGTTTTATTATCTGCAGTTGATTTCTGCCTAACCAGAAGAAGAAACCACATTGCTCTGGTGGCTTCATGCTTTTATCTGTTGGTCAGATTTAATTTTAGTTTTTGTAGTTCTCACAGTGGATGATTTTCCTGTGTCGTAGAACGTGTTTTCARTTATCTGCACATTTTATCTCAAGTTTGTCTGCCTTTACAATCTCTCAGAGGAAACAATCTACGATGTGAAGCTATTTTTCTGCTGGAACCTGACAGATTTATTTCTTACAAYTGAATGACAAAAATGTTTCCACATGTTGATGTTGTGAACATCAGAGAAAGAAATACGTTATTAACTATAACTTTTTTTTTTCAAAAAGGTTGTTGAATCAGGTTGTAATCTGCACAATAAATTATTTAGAAAAGAAACATTTTTGAGTGTTTTTGTTGGGTCTCATGTCCATTTTTGTTMATTAAACAGAATTACCAGCAAAGGGAGCTGAAGAAAGCTTTTGTGGGAGATATGGTCCAAACGCCATCAGAAGAGATAAAAAAAAAGTCAACCCCTCAGCTGATGATGTCATCAGTCAGGAACTGATTGACACCATGCTTATGAAAATGGGCTGTGTGTTAGAAATAGAAACTTTGGGTTCACCTATTTTATCGCGCCCTGGATGGGAACATTATTATATTCCTATACAGGTCAAGAGGTACCAACTGGACCCAGGACCATGAATCTTTTCCTGCCCTTCTGGGTTTCTCCTGCRAGAGATTGAACCATAAATCCTGGGTCCAGCAGTGGGAGACGGACACTGGAGGTGAAAAGGCCTTGGAGATAAGGGACTGAAGCAGGCAAAAGGCCTTTCTGTGTGTCTGTGAATTTTTCTTTTTCCTTTTTGATAAGAAAGAGTTCCTCCTCTCATACTCATGAAAAGGGAGTTTCTGAGAAAATGTTTGCCTAATCAGAAACAGGAGGTCTCATAAATCTCAAGCACATGCAGAGTGGGGCTTGCAGCTTCAGATTGTACTATTTTAAGACCCTTCCATTTATTCTAGCCACAGTTTAAATTATCCTTGTTTGTCTCCAAAGTCTCAACTCATCTCCTCAACTTTGTCCATAGTTAACAGGTTATCCTTTTCATAGAAAATCAAAACATTGTTCATAAGTACAGTTTTTGAATTAAGTGGATCTGCGCTCGACAATGCAACCTCGGTGGAGTAGTCGAACTGTCGAACACAGATCCACTGAGCGTTCAACAGACAGCACAGCTTCAGAAGACAAGCTGATAAAATTAATTTTATAAATCTGTATTGTTCGATACAAGTGTGTATTGAACGGTTCGATACAGATAACTGCAGACTTTCTGCTTTAATTTGAAGATATTTACATCCAAATCTGGTGAACAGTGTATGAATTACAACAGTTTGTAGATGTGACTTCCACAATACCAGACTAATGGGACAAATTAACAATCATAAATCAAACTTATTTGTTTTTTATGTTTGGATTCAGATCCKTTGCAGTCAGTTCAATTCAATTTCAAACTTTATTCATTCCATAAAAACAAAATTCTTTGTAAAAAAGAAAATA